TCAAGACATTGACAAATCATTTTTATCGAAACTTCCATTTAAAAAATTTAATTTTTTCTTTGAAATTTTATCAAGAAAGGACATACAATTCCATCGTATTAGAATTTATTTAAAGGCAATTAAAGGATTTTTTTTATTTTTTACTTAAGTTCGGTCATTTTCAAAATATTATCTTAAACAGATTGATTAAACAGAAATAATGACATTTCTCTCAAACACGATTTTCAAAAAAAAAATTATCAAAAAACGCTTAGGTACATTTCCTTGTTACACTAACGATCCAGAAGAAATATGCGATATCTACAATCCTCTATATGAACTTGTAAAGGGCGGTCTCGGCATCTCCGGCTTTCGTTCTCTCTCTTACTTTCAACCAGGCTGCGGGTTTCGAGACTGGGAAAGAGGTGAACGTATTGTTTACCGACGTTCCATCCCGATGGTTTCATCGCCGAGCAGCGATGTCAGCAGAAATGGCGTTGCAAATAAAGTGAGGGAAGCGGGAAAGACCGACGGGTTCGTTCATGAAATCGCGCACTGCGTGCTCGTGTTTCCAAGTAGCAAAGCCAGTCGAGCGTTTGCGCAGTCCAAAGATTTATTTGCTGCTATGATAGCGATTTCGATTAGACTTCACCGATAATTTGTGATACATTTCCAATATGATACGATAGATTTGTCTTCCAACCTTATAACAAGAGGTTTTATTATCCGCCAGACACTAAAATTCAAAATCTATTTTTTTTAATAATTCTACATAAGGATATTCAAGATTAAATAACGTAAACATATTTCCTTCCTATTCCTTTTGTCGTCTATGCCCATTTTTTCATTATAAAATATTGAAATACGTATAAATTTAAATACATCCACAGAATATCTGATAATAGATTTAATATTAACTCGTGGAGAAACAGGTTAAACTAAATTAGTCTCTCTTTTTTAAAATTGTAACAGTAATTAATAAGAAATAAATCTTCGAATGAGAGTGAATCTAGGCTATTTAACAACAAGATATCTATCGTTACGTATTATTCATAGTTAAACGTACTTCAATGCTTTATCGCGCATATAACAACCACAATCGTCACATAAAACTGTTGTTTCATTCTCGCCGTAATTTACACTTGTCACTAAATCACGCAAAAGCACGCTCAATCACAAATTTTTATTAATAAATAGAGATGCGCACGAGACGAGACAAGACGAGATTTCTGCGATCTCGATCTCAATCTCGAAAAATCTTGAAATATTTATATTGATCTCGGATTTTCAAGAATCTCGAATATATGATCTTG